TGTATGTGTAGTGAGAGATGTTTCCTGCTTTCCAATGATATTGAGAGTATACAATGTAAGAGGTAAGGAAGAACAGGGTAACAATCAGAGAGATGCCCAAGAAGATGTGTGACTAAGTGACAAGTTCGGTGGAAATAATGTAGGAAGTGAGACCTGAGATAAACCTTGCAGGATGCGATAGAATTTGGAAAGATGGAAGAGGTAGAAGGGAAATGTCTGAGCAGAGGTATGCAGGAAAGAAAGTATAAAGTCCTGAAATAATTGTGGGTGAAATGATACATCCAGCGTTTGCTTCAAAACAATTCAGGGCCATGAATATGATAAGAGTTGATAATTGCTGAAGCTGGGTAAAGGGTACACGAGACTTCTTTAATCTATTATTTATACTTTTGTGTGTGTTAGGAATTTTTTATAATAAAAAGTTTGGAATATAAAAATGGTATATTCCTTTTTGGACAGTGGGTAGGCTGGCCTATGTAGAATAGAAGGGTTTGTTGAAAGACATAGTGGAAAATGACATCGGAAAGGCAGTTTGGGAGCAGATTTGGTTGTGGGAAGGGGTTCGTGAGTGCACACTGTGGAGTCTGGGTGAGTAGTGGTAGACACTTTCATTGACATGGGCTTGAGTGGTACTTGACTATGAGCTCAAGGAGGAGTTGCAGTGCAGCCTGGCATCCTCACTGAAGATGGCAGCTACCCCACTTGACTGTCCACTTAGGCCCTACCACGTCTAACATGCCGTATTCCATACTGGAAGGCACATTTAAAAACAGTTTTGCACACTCAAGTTTCAATGGTTGGACATACCAGGCACAGAAGGATGTCTCATGTCTTCTTAGGAACCTTCCTTGTAGAATCCTCCATCAACTCAAGGTTGTCTACCTGAAAGAGACTTATTTTTCCTCTGAAGAGTCTCTGCCTTGTCCCTTTTCAAACTCTTTCTCTTGGGGGCTTGAGGCTGGGCAGTAAAAGCAAAGTAAAAACATCACTGATTCCCCAGTAATATCAAGGTGTGCGCGCATGCTGCATCTAATTTAATTGCCTAGAAACAGACCTTAACAGCAAGCTGAATACATGGCAACACTGAACCATTTAGAAAGCCTAACACTTCGGTGTAGCTTTCTAAAGCAAAGTTCCCTCTTCATTCCTGCTTAAAATTTTTCTCTACTGCTGAGGAAAAAAAGAAGAGAGGCACGTCAGAGAAATTTGAACAGTTGGTAATATTAAGAAATTGTTAACTGTTTTGATGCAATTCAGTGGTATGCTGGAGTGATGAGAGCTGGTTGTTGTGTTTCAGGAATTTTGCCAGCCAGTTGTTAAACACAGCTGTTAAAAATTAAATTATACATACCCAAAATTAAAGTATTAAAATAAAATTAATGCTCAAAACATATCACTTTTTAATTATTTTACTATAATTTGCTATTATTTATGTTATGGCTATTTATGTCTAATGTATCTGCATATTTGAAGTCTTGTAAAATGCTGTGCCGCATGTTGCCTCTCAGTGCCACATGCAGTGGCACCAGGCTGGCCCCTTGAAATTGGCTGTGGTGCGAATATTTACACCATGAAATGAAATACACGACGACTGCATATCAGGGCCTTCCCCTGCCCCTTGCGCTGACCCAAGAACTGGCTGTTAAAAACTACCAGCACCCCACTTGGTATGATTATGGTGTTGTGGCTATATATTTTAAAGACTCTCTCTACCTTTTAGAGATACATACTGAAATAAGACAGGGAAATATGACATCTAGAATTTATTTCAGATAATCCAGTGGGGGGGGTGGGTATCATGGTTGTTGTATCAGAGAGATGGGCACATGCGCTTCATGGCACTACTCTCTCTACTTTTGTGTATGTTTTAAATTTTTCATAGCATAACGTTAAACAAATAAGGAATGTTACAAGGAAAATAAGTAAGTTGCTTATTATACCCAGCATAGAAAATCAGTCTGGTACCTGTTTGTTCCTCAAACTTTGATATTAACATTACTTTGATAAAATGTTATTTTCTAATTTTAGAGCCCTTATTTGTAACTGGTTAACGTAGCTCATTGAGTTAAATATCTGTTTCTTATTAAATAAAATCAAGAAATCACTATGTGCAGTTTACCATACCCATAAAGGCAAAGAAATCCAATGAAGCCCTTGCTTGGACACTAAGAAGCTCTTTCTTCACAGTGGGGGGAAATACATTTCTTGGGTTGCAATCCTGTTTGCAGAACCAGTTGTACAAATAAGGAAAAATGAATCAAGTTATTGCTCAGAGGGCTACATCAGGCTATGTGACAGCTGTGTGCCCTTTAGATTTATTTTCAGTCTAACTGATTTGAGTCATTGCCCAAGAATCGAGCACTGTCAAGTGAATTGTCTTTTGTGCAGATGATGAGAGCCTTTCTAAACATTGCCTCACTGACACAGTTGATGTGTTTGGAAATCTCGGCCTATGAATTAAATTAGATCAATCCAATGACTTAGGAAGCTGTAGCCATGGACCTGAAGAGTATTATGCTAAATGAAATAAGCCAGTTAGAGAAAGACAAGTACCATATGATTTCACTTACATATCGAATCTAATGAACAAACTGAACTAACAAAGTGGAGACAGACTCTTGGATACAGAGAACAGACTGACAGCTGTCAGTGGGGAGGGGTTGGGGGCTGCATGAGAAGGGTGAAGGGATTAAGCAAAGAAAAAAAAAACACTCATGGACACAGAAAACAGTATGGTGACTGCCAGAGGGAAAGAAGGTGGGGGGAGGTAGAGGAAGGTATAAAGGAGGGATAAATGGTGATGGAAGGAGACTTGACCTAGGTTGGTAAACACACAATACAATATACAGATGATGTATTGTACAATTGTATACCTGAACCCTGCATAATTTTATTGAATAATGTTACGCCAATAAATTCAATTAAGTGCTAAAGAGATTGAGAGAGAGAGCACGCATGCCAAAGCTTACGTTATGCACTGGCTACATTTCACAAAGAGTGCTCAAGCACAGTATTTCTTTCCAATGTACATCTAGACATCAAATGGAAAAGTTGTAGTGTAAATTACTTAGAAAACATTTTTTCTAATTTCAAAGTTCATTTAAATTCATTCTTAACATGAATTTGTAGTATAATAGTTTCTTCTTGTCTTTGTTTATGTAATAATTCATACTGAGTCCAGCTGACCAGAAAAAAATTTGTTGAGTAAGGAATGCAAGTGATCACCGTGATTATCCCATCAAACAGGGTGGTGAGAAAATTATTAAGTTTTATAATGGAGAGAGCAAAGAACATTAAGAACCTTGACAGGGAAAGTAGTCTATAATATCTGCCCTGTAATTTTAAGTTTTGTGAGTCTCTGATCTGTTTAGAAATTCAGGCTGAGACCATTGTCTAGGTTTAACCACACACACACACAAAATCAATGTATCAAGCAATGAAAACAGCAGATGTCACATTCAGGTAACCCAGGGTCAGAATACCAAAAGGAAGTCTAGACTGAAACAGAGGCCAAAACAGGAATTGATATCAGGAAACCAGAAGTTAGAGTAGGATGGATAGGAGAAGAATCATAATTTCTCATAAGGCAGAGCAAGGCAAAGAAATCACTTGGAGACCCTGGGAGGTTTTGACACTTGGCTGCAGTTGTTCCCATGTGAATTTCTTTGTATTGATAACCTTCATTCAGTATCCTGCAGGGTCCCATGGCAATATAGGTCTGGAAAGAATTTCTTTGGAGTATATAAATAGAAATCATGGTTCAAGATTAAGTTGGAGCATGGAGATTGAGTCATGATTGTTAAGGAAAAACACATGATAAGTTCTTGAGGCGTAATAATCACAGGACTGTGACTTATTCACTCTCAATTATTGATCGAGCCCCTAGTGTGTAGGCCAGCTGCTGGGAATACATCAGTGAACCCCTACAGACAAAAGCTCTGTGTTGTTGCCCTGGCCACATGGCTTAGTTGGTTGGAGCATTGTCTCTATGTACTAAAATGTTGTGGGTTCAGTTCCCAGTCAGGGCACATAGCTAGATTGTGGGTTCAGTCAGTCCCTTGTTGGGGGCATGTACAGGAAGCAACTAATTGATATTTCTCTCTCTCTCTCTCTTAAAAAAAAAATCAATGAAAATGTAACATTGGTTGAGGATTTAAAAAAAACAAACAAACCCCTGTGTTCTTCAAGCTCACTGCCTAGTGGGTAGACACAGAAAATAGATAAAATAATTATATAGTTCACTAAAAAAAAGATAAATTCCATAGAGAAAAACAAAACAGGAAATATTCTCCAGATTAAATTTCCCAGGGATACATTTTCCAACTCTATCAAAGCCAGCAAAAAAAAAGGATTGATATTTATAAAAATACAAAACATACCACATCTGAAATTCTTTCATGTTTTATTAACTCTGTTGATAAAATAAATATAATCACTTTTACTACAACCAGTAAGTTTAGAGCACAGATTAAAATTGAAGTAGCGTGGGAGAGGGAGCAACTTTTTAACACTGAAGTACAATTTAAAAATAGTCCCTTACATGTTTGTTAGAGAGTTGGCCATTCATGATCAGGCAGGCAATGAGCACCTACCACAGGGAGGCTGGAAGTTATTTAAAAACATCTTTTCTTCTAACGCTGTTTACCTGCATTTGGACAAGTAGAAGCCAGTTGAAGAGGCAATGTGTGTGTGTGTGTGTGTGTGTGTGTGTGTAGGGGGAGCTGTTTGTTCTATAACATAAGATTTTTTATCTTAGGCAACTTGATTACCTTCATAAAAAATGAAGTTGTCTCATCTTTAAATGGAAATTTTAGGAAATGAAGGTGTTTGGTGAACTCCTTTATATAGGAGACGGATTCATGCTACCTTTAGTTCTTTATATTAAATAACTTATTTTTTCCCAAATTACCAGGTGCAAGCCTTTAAACCCAACATTGGCCAGCCTCTGCAGCAAAAAGGAGCAGTCTGATAAACTCATTCATATGTTCTCCTCTCCCCAGGGCTCCAGTCTGTATTTCCAGCTGCCTGCTAGACCTCGCCACTGAAATGGCTGAAAGGTACTACAAACTCAGCATTTTAAAAATCACACTCATCACCCATGTGTTTTTATGATCTGAACCTAAACGGCCTTTTCATCTCATCTTCAGCTTTCCCACTGGGTTTACTCTTAAGAGCAACACTCAGTCAAAACTTAGTCATGTCAAACCCCTAGTAACGGTATAAAATCTTAATTGTGTTAATAAGTCATCCTCGATTCAAAGCGAAAGAGCAAAATTAACCAGATTGCTCATTAGTCTCCCAGTGAATATTGGAATACTAAGTAGCACTGTATGATATAGAGCCTGTTGCCAGTCCAGCTTGGTTCCTCTCTCCTTTCTCCATCTCTTCCATTAGCTAATACTTGTCAGATTTTTCCATGTGTGGGGTCTAAAAATTAATTCTTTTCCTGCCACCTTCAGAGTTTTTCTAGCTGGGCTCATAACTGAAAAGAAACATTAACAGGAGAAAATCACATTTTAATACATACGCATGGGCAGTTCACATCAGCCTGAAAATTCTAAAGACAAGGAGGCAACACTGGATATAGATGACATTTTTAGACAAAGGAGAAGAGGGTGGGTAAGAGGTATTAGATTTCAGCAGTAAGAATGAGCGATTTCTAGGTAGTTGAGGAACGGGGGATCATGAGTCCGGGGAACAGAAGTTGCAGGCAAGTTCTTGCTACGAGACTCAGAAACAATGGACACACTTGTTATCTAGTTAATAAGCACCGACCTAAACCCTCTTATTTACCATATTTAATTCAAATGAGACTAAGTCTAACATCCTCAGATCTCCTTCCTGAAGCAGATTTTTTGTTTTTCTATCTGAATCTCTTGGGCAGGAAAGGGAGGGGGGTGAAATGTTCTATCTGAGTCTTCTTTCTCAACTACTCAAAGTCAACATCCCAAAAAGGCAGCTTCAGGGCAACAAAACTTTGGTCCCCCTCACCTGCTAGTACACTTCAGTTCCTCTATTCCTGGTCATTTTCCCTGATACTCCACCCACTGTTGGTCCTCCCTGCTTTCTTACTGAATTACTACAGCTGGGTCCTTCCGGGTTCCCTTGCCTTCATTCTGTCCCCCTCCCTCTTACTGCCCCAGTGAATCTCTCACATGCCCTGCCAGGTTAATTTTCCTGCAACATTGCTTGCATTCTGTTTTAGAATCCATCATTTTATTCTTTCGTGAGTCAAGACATGCACTTCATTCTGGAATCTTAAATCCTCAGTGTCCTCACTGCCTCACTTGTTTGTGAAATCATCTCCCTCTGGCTGTAAAGATTCTCTCTGCAGTGGGACCTGCTGCCTCATTGCTCTTTGTCACTCAAGATGTCTCTGCTCTTGCCCTTCTCCAGCTGGAGTTCTTTCTGTTCCAGCGTCTGCTCACCCCTAGAGGCTCGAGGTGCACGTCGCCCATGCTGCTTTCCCCATTCCCTGAACGGTAGCTGTTGGCATTTGTGAGAGGCAGTTTTAGGCGGTGGGAGGAGCACAGTGTCAGTGTCAGTTATGGGATCAAGCTCTTGATCGCTAGACATGTGACTTAGGCAGCTTGTTTCATTTCTCTCAGAGCTGGTTTCCTTGTCATGAAGTCAAATGCATGGTTTAAGTGACTCGTGGGGAAGAAACGCACCATAAACATTAAAGCATTATGCAGCTGTGTCTCATTGTTTCAACTATACATTTTGATCCTTGATTATATATTTTCCTGTTCCATATTCACTTTGTGAATATTTCTCATTTTTTTGTGAGTGCTTTAAGGGTAGATATAAGGCAAAATACCAAAAGAATTCTTATTTACTCATTACTGTTCTTTCTTGTCCTCTTCGGCCCACACCATTGGAAATGTTCAGTAAACACTCATTTGTCAAGAGGCTCTAATGCATGCGAGTATCAGGCTCTATAGTGAGAGTATAGTATTTAGCACAGGGAGTGAGAGAATAACAGGAAGAAAATGAGCTGGCCAGAAAAAAGTAGACTGACTAGGGGACTGACTTGCTTCAATCCCGACTTCGTTTATATGTCCAAAGACAAGCTCAGGATTTAGACCTCCTAGGCACATTCTTTAACCTTTTTAGACATGGTGATAGAGTTGCCTCATTTTCTTAGGAATAACAGTGTTCTTACAGAGAGGCAGGTTCTCAAATGTTTGTTAAATTCACTACTTACATAATTTTCATACCATAATGCGTGCACACACACACAAAATGTTTATACACACATATGCATGTCAATGAATTTGTCAGTGCTGATATTTATTCATAGTTTCCTTTTTCCTTTTAAATTTCATTCTCTTGTGTAGCAGCACTGTGTCTGCTTTGTCTGCAGAGTAGCAGTGATATTCACATTTGCTTTGTGCCTGCGCAGTGTTTGGTGGGGGCACCTGATCATTTGCCGAAGTCATAGGCCGTTTAGGGACTACCTCATTTATCTAGATTGCCCAGAAATTGTCTACAAAAATATTGTGTTGTATATAATGTTAAACTTACTCAAGTCCTGCTTACAATTAGAAATAAAGACTAAAAAAAAAATCATTAAATGAGAATTTATTTTGGTTTTGCCCAGATGTCTTTTAGCCCCCCTCTCACAGGCAGCCCCCTAGGAAGAAAGGACGTGGTCGTGGAATGCAGGGACTGATGATTCTGTTGCCAGGGGAAATGGAGTCCTTGCAGTGGTGCAAGAAGAGCATTTGCAGAGACCCACATGGTAGAATGAGGTCTGGGGGTAAGATTTACGTGGGTGGAAATATAAGGCTGCTCCCCGATTCCCAATGTCTTATCTCCGTTCGTCCCACTGTGAGCAAAATCCAATCTTGTCTTCATCCAGCGCAGTACAAAGGCCAAGGTCCAGAAATTCTGTGCCATTGATTCAGCCCATGGCTGCTCCCATCTGGCTAGCGTAGTCTGTCCCCAGCTGTGCTCTGGCTGGCTCTGTGCGCAGGCCCCTGCTTGGAATGCACAAGGCCGCCAGACCCCAGGCATGACCCGAGGGGCTGTTAGGGCTGCACGGCTGCTCTGGAGAAAGAACCCACGCACTTGTTAGGGGTGGCGGGGTGGGGAAGAGCGCTTTGTTAAGCTTAGGTTATATTATCTCATACTTGGGAAGGACCAGGCACCCTTTCAAACTAACCAGTCAACTTCCCAATCTTTCATGGGCTTCTGATGGGTCCACCACCTACCCAGTCTATATCCTGGGTCTTCTGGGATTCTGCTGAGTCCCTTATCCAATCCAAACCTTTTCCTAGGCTAGTTACCCCCATTATAGTTGTCACCTTAGTTCCTACTGCACATGCCTCATTATAGAAGCACCTCCCCTGGCACCGTCCTGGCTTCTGCTGGGCATGTGACCAGCCGCGGAATTTCTCTGCTGTTTTTGTTCCTCCCCTGTCACCTTCGGGGGATTAGGTCCTGAGGGTGGAGAATGCCCTGGAGAGTGTGTGAAGCTGAATCTTCCTAGTGAAGCAAGCTAGCTTAGTGTTCAGTGCAGCTCCTCAGTCCATCGGGTTCAACAATATCCAATTCCCTTTGCTCCTTCCTTTATTAACATCTAGCTCCCTATGCTAACAATTCTGCCTACTATCCATCTTAGAAAAGTAATATAAATGGTGACAAGTCTTGGTTGATGAGCTATCCTTGGACAATACGAATAATCATTGGGCCCTGGCCAGTGTGGCTCGGTTGGGTGAAGCGTTGTCCTGTAAACTGAAAGGCTGCAGGTTCAGTCACTGGTCGAGGAGCCTGCAAGAGGCAGTCAGTCGATGTTTTCTTCTCACATCGATGTTTCTCTCCCTCTCTCTCTTCCTCCCTTCTACTCTTTCTAAAATCAATGAGCACATCCTCAGGTGAGGTGTTTTTTTTTTTTAAAAATGAATAGTCATTAGATACTTTTATAACTCTTACTATCCTCAAGTCACTGAGTCTTTCTACTCAGTTAAACAATAAATTAATCAAACAGAAAAATTTGTTCCTGTTTTCAGGGAGTTTATAATTTACAATAGAATAAAGGGAGTGATAATGACCCCAGCAAGACAACTAAGAAAAATGGGATTTGCTTATTACCTTTGAGGCAAAAGGTACATTTCTCTAAAGCAAATCACTAAAGATTTCGTTTGTTTTGTTGAAGAATACCTTTGCTAGCGTGCTGATAGCTTACGCCTGCTCTCCATTCACCAGGCTGCCTGGGCGAGTGGTGGCCTTGCAGATGAGCCAGCCTGGCTGTGAGCAGATATTTGCATAGGAGTTTGGGGAAACTGCCAAACAACAAAATGAAGACTATGCTTTTGAAATTCCTCATTTGACTGCTTTTATGAAATTGATGTTTCTAAGGGAATGTGTTTTTTAAATGAAATTTTAATAGCACCTCAGCTAATTCCAAATGTGTTCTTTCATTTTACTTGGCTTTCACAATGGGATCATATTTGGTTTCACTTCCTGGTTTGTCCACACAAGCCTGTTGCTGGGAAATATTTAAATAAAATGTTTATGATAGAAGAATATTGTTTTGCAATGGGTAAAAAGCATTTTGGTTTGATTTAGATAGAGTTCATACAGTAACTTTTATAGAAATAAGATTTCTGATGCTGAAACTTGTAAATCAGTTGCTTAGAGAAAACTCTTTAAAGAAAAAAAGAAACAGTACCCTTTGGCCCTGAATTTAATTAAGTTATCTTTTGGTAAAGTCATCTACAGAACTGTCTGAGTAGGCACCAGTTATGAAACAGATTTGAAATGTTAGCCCATAATTAGAGTAATTTTAACTTGATTTTAAACAGAGGTTTGATTGCATGGTGAGTGACAATGGCTAATGATATTTCCAGACGAAGGACCTGAGATGGTAACTTGTTAATGGTGTATTTAATGTGACCACTAGAATATCTGGCACACTTGTGTATATGTGTGTTTGAAATGACTGCTCTTGTGTGGTATGGCAGTGTGTGAAATACTTGGCTATTCTAAAGGTCATATTTTTACCACGAAGTATCTAATTTTATCAAAGTATTTAGGTACCATCTAATAGCAA